AAAAAAAAGATCTTCATTCATCTTTTGATGACTAAGCTATCACTAAAGCTAAGAACAGTCATACTTAATATAATCCTTCAGTGAGATCCCTCATTCTTTATGGCCCTTTCTTTTCCAGATAGTGTGAGGTCATCTCTTTGATTGCTTCTGAAGACAAAGGACTATTCGTGACCAGGCCAGCATAGGACGCTGCAACAAAGCTGTACTTCTGATGGCTACCGAGTCAATTCCAACTTATAGTGACCTAGAGGCAGAACTTCCCCTGTGGGTTTCTAAGACCGTTAACTCTTTGCAGGAGTAGAAAGTCTCCTTAGGGAGTATGTAAAGCATGTCTAAGGGAGAGATTTTCTGCCTCTGGGGAACATTAGAACCACCTATGTACCTTTCTAAACACTTCTGTGTTGGACCCTATCCCCTACCTCCAAAGGTAGGAATGTCTTGACAAAAGTTCACTAGCCATTCTGCTGTGTGCCAGAGAGGATGACAGATGAAACATTCCTGCCAGGTGCTCTCCCAGCCTCTATTTCACATGGCTGGAGACTACTGATCAACGGTACACTTTACCAGATACTCATTTCAATTCACCCTAAGCAAAGACTGCCTAGCAATAAAGCGCTAGTTCTCTTCATAGCTAAAGTTCAGATTTTTGGGGGGGGGGGGCCGGGAGGTAGGGTTTTCCAATTTTTAATCAAGGATTTATATAAGATATTCCAGAGATATGGAGTTTTAATCCTCTTTTTCCTCTTCTTTGTCCCGGTTAATAATCTGAGAGTAACATAATTCATAGCTTTCTTTGCTATTAGCAACTAAACACAACCAATCGTGTCTTGTTCAAATATTTTGTAATGAGAGGTTTCAAATGCCTTCGGAAAAAGGCACCTTGGAGGTTACAGTGATCTTGTTCTTGCTTCTTGGTTACAACACCTGCACTGAGATAATCAGCTTTCCCATTAACCCTTTTCCTTGAAAGTGCCCAAAATTGGCAACATCCATGATTCCATCCTTCACAGGGTAAAGTGAAGATTTTCAGTGGACTCTTGGATTTTCATACTTTGCTTCTCTTATGTGCTAGAGTCTGGAAATCCTTTTTGACTTCCTATTTAAAGTTAGTCAGAAGGCTATAGCAACTTTTAGGGGGGAATCTCAGGAGTTATCTTGATATATTTTCTCAAAGAACACAAGAAGATCACGGAGACTTACTAGGAAGAAATTTAAGAAAATTAAAAACTGCATTAGTGAGAAAAAGGCCAGGAAATTTGTGCTGAGAAATTTTCCAATGGGTAGCAAGGGTTGTCCTACAAAATTTCATTGTGGAACCGTAACACAACCACCCTACACCTGATTTTGACCTTTCAGACAGCTTTTTATTCCTCAAAATCAAAGAACACTGAAGAAGACCAAAAACCCCATTCTAACATGGTGTAAATAAAAAAGTACAGAATCCTTCAAGGAAGGGTTAGAGAGATTAAAAACCAAAAACTGCCTTCAAGAGTGTATAGACCTGGGGAGGAAGGACAAGAGCAGGAAATTAAAGCAATAGACTGGATTACTGACAGGTGTTAACTTGGGTGAAATGGAACACAGTCCACAAAATCAAGGAGTAAGTGAAAGGTAAACTGTTGAATACAAAACTGATGATCTGAAATGTAAACTCCCACCTAATTCACAATAAAAACTGTTTTGCTTTGTTTTTAAAGTGGATCGACCAGCTGCGGGATATGCTGCTAAACAGCAGCTTCACATTTTTACATTTTTGTTAAATAAAAGTTTCTATGGTGTTAGAGCAATACTTTTTGACTTACCCGCATATAGATTGAGAGAAGTTAAATAGCTTGTCCAAAGTCACCCAACTAGTTGATCACCTAAATCCAATACTCCATGATTTATCTTTTATTTCATATAACTAAAAATACTCCCTGGTGCATGCTATGCATATATATTGCTGAATGAATAACAAAGTATCTATTTGAAGTTTATATAAAGGTACCACTCATAATCACTGCCATCAAGTCGATTCTGACTCACAGACCCCTTTATATATGTCTTTTATAGGAGCATATAACCTCTTCTTTCTCTCCAGGAGTGGCTGGTGCATTTGAACCACCAACCTTGCAGTTAGTAGCCCAACACTTATTTGGCAGTGCCACCAAGGTTCCTTACATAAAGGTACATAAGGATAAAATGACCAGAATTATTCCTTCTCAGCCTGCAGAGGAGGAACGGAGCTCAGACACTAACTTCTTTTACCTTGAATGTGGCCCAACAGATCCCTTTAGATTCTAGCAGTTAACCTGGCGTAGTTGCTAGAAAGTTTAGAAGCAACTCACTGCCCAGACAATTCCAACTCATAACAACCCCGTGACACTGAGCAGACTTGCCCTTGTAGGTTTCCAAGAGTGCAGATCTTTAGAGAAGCAGCCCACAGGCCGCTGGTGGGTTTCAACTGCTGACTTTGCCTTTAGCAGTCACTTCTTACGCAAAATGCCTTTAAAAATTCCCAATCTAGAATATCATTTGTCATTTTCTTTTAGCCCATCTGTCACTGTAATCTATGTGAAGAGCAATCACTGACAAGATAAATTAAAAATGTGGCATCCTAGGTACCAGATGTGTCAACATTGTTTTGAAAGCTTGGGGGCAGAGGGGAC